ATATATATATCTTTTTTCGTGCATATTTTCGTTGTTGAAAATTGGTCTCAATTTATCTAAAGAATTTATACCTAGAAAGGAGGGGGGGGGGGAAGTTCTAATTATATTTTTGGATACTCTATAAAATATTTCTAATCGCGTCCAACGTTATATCAATTTCAATAATCTAAGAGCTTTCGTGAAAACTTTATTTTTCTTGATCGGTAGGATGGATCCCGATGCGTATATGGATGTGCCTGATGATGTTCACCGCCTGCTGGACCAGCTACGCGTGTCGTCTGCAAATGCCGATCCTGGTAGTGCCGATGATCCATGAGCCGCTGATCAATTACACGAATGGCGGCGCGTGCGTGTACAATGATGAGTCCGCGCGACGACGGCGCGACGTCGTCAATCTCTTCGATCCGGGCAGCTACCTGGAGGAATACGTCTTGGATCGCATGCAGGAGGAACGGGACCAGAGACTGCACTCGCTGCAACGTCGTCAGGTAACGGCGAGCATGCCACGATCGCCGGACGCCCGGTTTGCGTTTTTCAGCGGTGAACCGTTCGAATGGACCCCGACCGTGCGAGGTCAGCTGTTGGCCGCCTACGGTTACGGCAACGTGCCCGGCAACTTCATCGGCGGCTGGCTGTCGCTGAGATACGGACCGCGACACGCAATCCTTTGGACGTCGATCCTGGCCGCGGTGATATCGCTGGTGAGCCCGTTCATAGCGCAGTGTCATTGGGGATTTTTAATGTTCTCGCGGGTCATCATCGGCGTCACCGGTGGTGTCATTTTCCCCGCTTGTCACACCATGGTTGCTAAATGGGCCCCGCCGCACGAGCGGGCGCGCTTCATCTGGTCCCTGCTCGGCGGTACCTTCGGTACTATACTCACATATCCGATGATAGCCGGAATCGCAGAGAGCACCAATTGGGAAAGTGGATGGTACATACCGTCCCTGCTGATGTTGGTATGGACCCTCGTCTGGGCAGTGATCGCCTACGATTCGCCCACGGAACATCCGGCCATCTCCGACGAGGAGAAGAATTATATTGTAACGTGAGTCCCTCCTCCGAGAGTGAATAATCCTATAGTTTAATCCGTTTTTTACATTCTATATATAATATAGAATATATGAATATATTATTTTCCTTTCCACATAGCATCTTACGTTAGCGATGCATTATTCGATACAGCAGACTGTAAAGTATAAATAATAACATAAAGATTAATATATTTATATAAATCTTCAATTTAAAAAAATTCGTATCAAGATTTTTCAAATCAATTACATAAAACTTATGTCACACATCTCAGTACGTTCGCAAAATAAATTGAAATGATGCGATCACTCACGATTATCACTGGTTCCTTCGAAGAACCACGAAGAACAGCTCGTCTTGGGCCGATTACAAATCAATTTAATCGATCGCGATTTTTTTTTCTATAGCGCGCAGGCGGGTATAGTGCGTGCCGACAAACCCAGGTGGAAGCAAACACCGATACGACAGATATTTACATCGATACCGTTCATCAGTCTGGTCATATGCCATTATGGAAATCTCTTCTTGCTCTTCTTCTACCAAAACTCGCTCATGTTGTACCTGACGAAAGCATTGGGTTTCCGATTGACGCAGGGCGGCGCCGCGGCTGGTGCACCATGGGCTGCTAGGATGCTCTTTGGATTCTTCTTCAGCTGGGCAGGTGACACCATCAAAAGGAGGCAGATCATTAGCATTGGTCTCTTACGAAAGCTGGCGACTATATTCTGTAAGTATATCACAAAATATTCTTTGAAAACAGCAATTGTCAATTTTTTCTTATAAATATATAAATATTAGTTTTAT